GTTACGAAGTACATACGGCATCTCCATAAAGTTGAAGTCGATGGTACCTGTTGTAAGTAGTTTAAAAGGTTTATATGAATTGAACTTGTATTTAACGAGATTATGTCTTGCCTGATTTGCAACAAAATGAAAGAAGAAGAATGTTATCATGGTCATGGACTGCCATAATAAAAAATCTTTGAAACTTAAAAACAAAGAAGAAACGAATACAAACTAGAATATGTTATAGTGACGAATTAGAAATGGACATATTGTGTAGACACCTATCTATTGTCGAAATTATACTATAAGTTGCCTTCTAGATGTCCTTAGTTTGTTCTTGTCGTTTGGTTGCTGTCTTATTGACGTGTAACCTACATTTCATACAGTTTTAGTTCCGTTGAGTGTACTTTTGAATCGATGCATGAAAAATCATAACTAAACTGGTTATTGTGTATAGATTAATTGTCTTTCTTTCCCCCAATAATTCTAGGAAGATGAACCAAAGAGAGATGTACACAGACACTTGTTTCTATCAATATATAATACATATGAATAGTCGACCTTCCCATGTGGAGATGTACCTAAATTAAAAATATTAATATGTAAACAGAAAATAATGTTACACTTTTAAATCTTTAACTTCCCCTCCCTCCATTTTTTTTACTGTATCAATTTTAAAGACATGTCGCTTCTAAACAAAATCTGATTGATCTGTAGCTTATCCCCCATACCTGCTTTCATACAAACTTGAATATGTTCCTCATTAAATTCGATCCCAAAACTTAAAAGGCACACATATCTAAATAGTCGGAATTAATTCCATTGAGCACGAAACTATAATCCAAATCAGATTTTATTTATTTGGATATTCTAAAATACATATCTTTTTCGGCAGATATTACAAAAAAAAATATTATTATCTGGTTTGACTGGGAAACACTGATTTCTGATGTACATTGTACACAAAATATAAAATATTTTATGTCCCACCCTTTGAGTGGAAAACATATCATGTTATAGCATAAAATCGTCTATTTTGGAGTGAAAAAAAATGGACGATTTAAATAAATTAGATGTTTTTGACGGTCTTTTGAATTCTGTTGACAGTTTTGACTTTTCTACTCTTTACACTACACCTCTACACAATCTTATCAAACAAAAGTTTTCTTATTTAATTAAATGGTCGTTTGGTAAATCTGAATGCAAATATATTTGCTGCAATTCATTAATATGCTAGATATACTCACTGGAGGTGGGATGAGATGATTGAAGCTGTTAATTTCCCCTTGAAAATATTTATGTACGTTTTGGCAACAAAGTTTATCGACAGGTTGTAGGTATTTCAATGGGCACTAATTGCGCCCCTTTAATAGCAGACTTGTTTTTGTACTGTTATGAATCATAGTTTATGACCACACTAAGTAAAGACCAGTCAAAATTGCATTTAACTGATAAATTCAACAACACTTACCTTTATCTTGATGATATTTTTTCGTTAAAAAATCAAGAATTTTCTAAATATACTGCCGAAATTTACGACAAAAGGGACGATTTTTCGTTCCCGATTGTTATTTTTCCCTTTTTGGATGGTGATGTTCCATTGGCACCATCTTATGGTGTTTGAATTTCACAACTCGTTCGCTATGCCCGTGTCTGTTGTGGCGTTTTTGATTTTAACGAACGTAATCTATGTATTACTGGTAAATTATTAAGCCAGGGATTTCGTTACCACAAATTACTTAAAACCTTTACTAAATTCTTCCATAGATATAAATATTTGGTTTTGAAGTTCAAATGGGATAGCACATCCTAATTTTTATGGAAATGTTGTTTACCGTGCCCGGAAATTTAGAAACGATCCTGGTAAACTTGTCGATCCGTGAAATAAACTTATTCTAAAAGGTTACCAATGCAACACTGTAATTAGATCATTGAAAATTGTTTTATTGGTATCAATATTGATTTTGTTGTCAGTAAATTAAAAGCAAACTAAATATTATTGCTATATAATTCATATACACATTCATGGATCTACAATCTGTTGATACCTGTATCTTGGCATTACACAAGGTCGTGTTTTTCCTCTGACTGTTTATGACGTCTGTACATTAAATCCATTGGATGTTGGATGTGTACAGATCGATAATTTAGTCTTAGATGCATGATTTTTTTATTACTTGTTAGTGGCTTTGAACTAGCTGTCAGTAACTTCGAGTACTCTCAGATCAGTACTTCGTGTCTTTTTGTTGTTGGGATATACAAGTACCCGGCCACGTCCACTCTGTTTTTGTTAGATGTATGTTATTTGTATCCATCTGATGAGTTAAGCCTTTTTCAACTGATTTTTATAGTTCGTTCTTATGTTGTACTGTTACACCACTGTCCTAGGTTAGGGGGAGGTTGGGATCCCGCTAACATGTTTAACCCCGCCACATTCTGTATGAATGTGCCTGTCCCAAGTCAGGAGCCTGTAATTCAGTGGTTGTCAATTGTTGAAGTGTTACATATTTGTTTTTCGTTCATTTTTTGTATATAAATTAGGCCGTTAGTTTTCTCGTTTGAATTGTTTTACATTTGTACGTCATTTCGGGGCCTTTTATAACTGACTATGCGATATGGGCTTTGCTTATTGTTGAAGGCCGTACGGTGACCTATAGTTGTTAATCATTACTATGTCATTTGGTCACTTGTGGAGAGTTGCCTCATTGGCAATCATATCACATCTTCTTTTTATATTCGCTACATGTACACTCGGTGATATTTTTTAAATTTTATATGGAATTACACTCCCTTCAAAATCGAGGGTCCGCCCCTAAAGGTAAGAGTACTTTTGAACTGTGCAGTATATCTGAGGTAGTAAATGCACACCTTTGTTGTGCATTATCCAGATTATAGCATAGTAAGAACAAAGATACTTTACTCATGTCATGTGTTAAGTATCCATAGGACAGTATGACTCGCTTAAAATATCAAATTTGCATGTTCATTGAATCGCAAATTATGGTTCAAATTCCTAATTTGGCATACATTTCAAAAAGAACATGTCATAATGAACATGTGTATAGTTTCAAGTTGACATGAACACAACTCTATTGTAATTTAATCTATCTTAACAAACAGAATAAACCTAGTATTGGACGGACGGCAGTACAGACCAGAAAACATTATGCCCCACTACCGTAGGCGGTACATAGAAATCCTAGTCACAAAGATAAGAATGGCCAATTTTGTTTGAGGCTGATATTCAGACGATCCCCAGTAACAGCTATTCTAATTTCAATGTTCCCTCATTGTTGCACGTGACAAGAAGCCTTGATATTAGAACAGGCTCTGTAGCATAGCTGACGCACCTAAGCCTCACATTTAACAAAACAAGTTGACTAATTGCAACTAAAGCACGAAGATACCAATGTAAATGACGAGTAATTTTTTCAAAGTTGAATGGAATATTCGGCGTCTTCGGCTATGCACATATCTCGTCAGGAAGATTTTCTTTATGTCGTTCCTCAAAATACAGATTTTGTTTCGTTTCGTAGTGTTTCGTTTCTCAATTTACATGTTTCGTTTCGTTTCGTCGTGTTTCGTTTCGTTTCGCTGTGTTTCGTTTCGTTTCGCCCTGTTTCGTTTCGTTTCGCTCTGTTTCGTTTCTGTTCCGTTTCTCACTTTACCGGGACCCTTTTAAACCGGAGTAAACCTTGAAAAAACGTTGATGACGTGACGGTCACACGACAAAATTATGTTTATGAGCTGATATTCTTCACCAAAACAACGACGCGTTACATCCAAAATTAAATTATTAAAAAATTGTTTATCAAGTTTATGATGTGTATGTGTCTCCGCTTGCTGATATAAATGACTGCCACATGTGATGTAATAGTCACAAACATATAAATACTGAGAAGTTGAAATTTCGAGTTCTAATACATGAAATTTTGAGTTTAAAGTCTAAATTTTTACTTTATGTATAAAGCTGAAATTTCGACTTTTCAAAACGTCAAAACTTTCGACTTACAAAAAAACCGAAATTTCAAAATTTACAATAGGTAAAATTTCAAGTTAAAGTCAAAATTTCGAGATTTGAAAAGTTGAAAATTCGAAGTTTTAATAAGATTTGAAATGTCAAAATTTCGAATTTGAAACAAAAGTTCAATGCCAATTTTATTTCTATTATGTCCCTACTTAAATATGATTCCGTAGCATTCAAATTTCTACTGTTTTTTCATCAAGTTTATCATAAAACTTAATTCAAACCAAAAAAAAAAAAAGACACCTGGTGAAGTGGATGCTGATTATAGTTTGGGATACACAGCGTTATAATCATAATAACAATCAAATATATATAATTGATTAAACAATTTAAGAGTTTATATAGTTTGTTCTTATGTTGTGCTGTAATACCACTGTCCAAGGTAAAGGGGTTGATCGCACATATACATGTTTAATGTTTAACTCTGGTACATTGTCCAAGTCATGAGCCTGTAGTTCAGTGGTTATCGTATGTTCATGTCTGTCATGATATTTTATTTCGTAAATTGTTTTGTTATAAATTAAGCCGTTACTTTTCTCAGTTACGTTGTTTCATTTTTCATGGCGGGGTCTATTATAACCACCTATACCAGTGTATATAAAGTCTAGGTACTTGTTAAATGTCTTATAGTCAAATTAAGGTACTTGTTGAATTGTTTATTGTTACCTAAAAAATGGTGGATACAAGAGTGACTGACCCATTCGAATGTACTATAATAGTGGTGGCATTATCGCCGGTTTTGTCCTCAGAGGGCTGTCGTACGATGATCTATACTGAATTGCTTCATTTGAAATCTGGATAGTTGTCTTATTGGCAATAATATCACATCTCCTATTTTCGCTCGACAAGGTTACGATCCTGTAATTAAGTTTTTTGCTAGCGAAGATGCATGTATCTTATTTTTCGTCTAATTTTAGAACTAAAACACGGAAACAAATTTACCGGAGTCAATCTGACTTATTTTTATTTCATGTAAAATTTTACTTCCGGTTCAAATTGCTGGTTTGTGTTCATTTATAGTTTGTTATGCTGGACAACGGCAATGTTATGAACAATGAATATTTTAGCTGGCGATGTCAGCGGTATTTCTTCATGTCGGTCAATGCGGAAACCAAATAGGAAAGGCTTTCTGGAAGAAAACATCACAAGACAAAGCTGTTAATGATGGGTACACAAAATGTCAAAAATAGTTCTAGTCATTTCGGGACCTGGTTAAATCGGGACCTGATTAATTTGTCTCCCAAAATAGTTATTTCGGCACCCATTAAAAAATTTTATGTTTTCAAGTAAACCAATTATTTGTATAGTAAGAGTCAAGCAAGTCAAGTCAAGTACTGAAAAAAAGGACTGACTAGGTTGCTGGTTGGGAACAAAGTCCACAAACCCTTTAACTTTACACACGCTGTTCCTACAACCCATAGGATTTTAAAAAGAATCTTTTCGACATTTCCTCCACAAAACAAAAAAAAATATTAGCAAACACTAACCACTATAAAAACAAATTCAGTATAAGTTTCCAATAACGTTCTTACAGCTCTTGGTCATATGCTTAGTAATATCTAGTATATTTGAGGATTAAAACAACAAAGCTATATGTAAAAAAACGGATGTCCAACGTTACATTTTGAACAACTGCTTTAACTCTTATGTATAGTGATCCTATTTCTTATTCTCTGAACTTCCTGAAACTTGGTGAGAACAACGACATGTGTCGGTTCTTTGTGACAATTAAGTCATTATTTTGTCAAATTTTATTTGACTCGGCGGCTGCATATTAAGCTGGAATAAGATTGATTGATTGTTGGACAAAAATCAGTACCAGGCTAAATCTTTTGTCTAGGATAAAGAAATCCCTCCCCCTGGAAACACGAAAGTTATACTTTAATGGTTATATTCTCCCTATTTTGGATTACTGTTGTACAATTTGGGGAAACACCAGTGACCAAAATACAAATAGATTAGATAAACTTCAAAAACGAGCAGCTAGAATTATTCTTGAACTTCCTTATGATACCCCATCTAATACAATGTTTAAAAAGTTATCATGGCTTCGATTTACTGATCGTGTAATTTACCACAAGGCCTTATATGTTCATAAATGTTTATATGGATCTGTCCCAGAATATTTGTCTAACAAAATCTCCTATGTTACAAATAAAAATGGGATGCAACTTAGATCAAATACTACCCAATTACTTAATATACCAAAGGCAAGAACAAACACATTTAGAAGATCTTTTTCATATTCTGGCCCAACTTTATGGAATAAACTACCAGAAGCACTAAGACACATGTCAAACATAAATACTTTTAAAACAAACTGCTTTAAGTTTTTACTTGAAAATCCTGGAATTATTTAAATGATTATGTATCAATTTTGATTATGTTTTCTTATGTTTATCTTTGTTGTGATGAAATTGTGTGATGCATTGTGAGTGGAGTGTGAGGGCCTCAAGGGAGAATAGTGTTTGTACTAATTGAGCATACCCTCTTGAAATAAAGATTATTATTATTATTATTGGTTGCTTAACATCCAGTGGCAAATATTTCATGCATATTCAGGACGAAGCTGGAATAAAAATAATGTCCAACGACGTTATTCGTTGACTCAACGACTGAAAGTGTATTTTATAAGTAGATATAGCAGAAAATGTCAAAAAATGGTAAGATAATAATAACATCTACCAAAAGTACAAATATTTGCCTCATTGTTCGTGAGTTTAAATATTGTAGATTCTATAAAATCCTATCTTTACAGTCTTTTCAAGCGGTAGTCATTTTGTCCAAGTTGATATTTCATTTGTCAAAGCAATTAATGCGGGTTTTTTACCTGATATTTCAATAAGTTATTTATAATTTATAAAAACAAAAGTTAGATACACGAGGAGTACACAATGCCTAGATTTGTTTTTTATTAACTACATGCTTGTGTCTGAAAGGAATAAAATGCTACGAAACATTACAAAACGGTAGTCATTTTGTCCAAACGGGTGAAAACGTCGAAAAATCTGAAAAACGCTTATTTCTGACGTTGCATGTGCTTAATTTGTTTCAATTAAATGTTCCTGATAATAAAAACAAATCGTGTGGTTAAATTTGGAAAAAGATATTGAAGGCTGTCGAAAAAAGAATAGTGCATATTAACAAACCCGGAACATAGATTCGACACAGATTAAATTTTGATATTTTATAACCATTTTTAGCTTTTAGTGATTTATTGTTGCTAAAGGCAAATTTTTGATTCAGAATGCGAATGATATGTACAACTTTTGCAAAGACAATTTGGAGACGACAATACAGTCCTCTATATGTTAAAGGTGAATTTTTCGTTATGTTGCAGAAGTACCCTGAAATAGATATAGATCATGTTTAAAGTGCCCTTTCAATAAGGTACATTCACCAAATTAAAAGTACAAGTACTCGAAAAGTTTTAGTTCGCGACTTGTCCTGCTACTCATGTTATAACTGTCGTACTGAAACTAATTCATGTACTAGCGAAGCCAGACCTTTTCGTCAAAATAAACTTGTGCATGAAACAGAGGTTCAAATAATTGAAGGGCTGTATTTCGACAAATTGTGTGTCAAGGAAAAGTACAATTCATTTCAAATTAATCAAGGGTAAAAAAAAATGATTTACTTGCAGAGTGTCGAATATATTTGTTTTGGGGTTGAATCAAGATATGGAAAATTTACAATGCAGACATATGATATGCACCATAAAATTTTAGCAGCCTGTGATTAAAGTTTTGTACTTCTAAAATTATGTTTTAATTTATCTATGGAAAACTGAATATTTAATAATTCCGTCCCATTTTGCCTTCCTACATTATTTACGACAATACAGCATTTTAAGGGGAATTTATAAGGGTAAACATTGTTAATTGATTTCTACAACTTGAGGTAATTCATGGTAAAAATACATCACAAAAATAACAGAGACAGAATCAACCCATAAAAAAAAAATGAATGAAACTAGCGAATTTAATTAATCGACGTCAAAATTTCGAATGCACGTCGTTTCGTAACCTGGTCGTTTCGTACCTGGTCGATTCGTAACTACCTTGTTTTGTAACTGAGACGTTTCGTAACTTTTGTAATTATATATGGTTATAAAGTGTTAGTTTAAATTAATTAGTTTAAATGAAAAAGTTAAAGTTATTATTAAAAAATAATCAAATTGTTCATCTAATAATAACAATATCGTAATATTTTTAATTTAAAATTTTCTGAAATCTTTTTAATTATTGGCTAATTGGCTAATTGGTAATTACACTCGGTGACAGCTTTAATGGTTTTATGACAACTAATGACAGGTAATAAAAAGTAATTACAGTAGGTGTAAAGTGATTAAGTAGATTAATGGCACACGACCTATGGCACACGACCTGAAAAAAGTAATTATTTTCTCCTTTTTTTTCACTTTTACATGCAATTGCATAACCCTCCTCCTTTTTCACCCGGGCTGGGGACCGGCGTTGGCGGAGTTACAGTTTTTTTTTTTTTTAAACACTTTATCTTACTCTAAGAGAAATTAATTGTTGTTTTAACATTCAAGCTATGTGATCATAACTTTTACTGCTTGCAATTACCACTTGCACAACGTAAGCCATTTAATTAATCTAAAGTTTAAGAATTTAATTAATAAAAATTAATTTACAGTTATAATGGCAATCAATCTTTCTGATATATGTTTAATAACTACACAAAAAAGCAATCAGTAGTGAAATATTTTGAATAAATTTAATTTGAATTAAATTGATAAATTACTAGGCGTGGTTAAATTAAATAAATGTAAGTGACAAGTGTTCACTTAATGGTATAATAGCAGTTTTTTTTACTCCTTTTTCATTCATCTATAAACGCCAAATATGTCACTAACAGTAAATAAGCCCAAAGTACTTGTGATCGGTCACAGTTTCATCCGAAGACTGGAAAATTGGATGTTAAGAACGCAATCCGACTTATCAAGTTCTGTCGAAACAAAGCTTCACGGGGTAGGCGGGAGAAAAGTACAGTCATTGAGACATTTTGATCTCCACATAGTGAAGAAATTTAAACCCAACTTTGTTTTCATACAGATTGGAGAGAATGACATCTGTGATAAATTATCTGCATCACACACAGCATCAGAGATTGTACAACTCGCAAAAGATGTCAAGCGCTTAGGTGTTCCTTCTGTAGTTATAGGCTCCAACATCATCAGACTAAAAACAAGAAACATGAAAGAAACAACTTATGATAGAAAAAAAAAGAAGATAAATAAAGAACTAAGCAACATAAAGATGGGTGGTGTCAAGTATTGGAGACATCAAAACACGTGGCAGAAGACTAAATACTTTGATAAAGACGGGGTACATCTAAATGATGATGGACAATTCAAATTCTTCTGTTCTATTCGCATGTGTGCAAAACTGTACTTGTAAAGTGTAAATTTATGTGCAATTAATTATTTAATAAATAAATATAGATATATATATACACATACATCACTAAGTCTTTTTATTACTTTTTGCGTAACCTACTACTCTTATTGTTATTATATATTGATATAAGGTTACAAAACGTCTCAGGTACGAAACGACCTAGTTAAGTTACGAATCGACTAGTTACGAAACGACCAGGTTACGAAACGACCTGCACCCAAAATTTCAGAAAACACTCTTTGACGTCCCATTTTTTGGTGTAACGTCGTGTTGTAGGAACATCGTGCACAATGTTTTTGGCTTTACATGGTGTTTAGTTTATACACATAGTTGCCAAGTGACATGATATTTGCATGTAATAGACGCTTTTTCAACGGTTTCATGCAAGGATTTTGTCACATGGCATGTACACGCTTTTCACACGCTTTTTCGTTGTTTTGATTTTTTGGTTGTTAGTGATATCGCGATTCTCGGGTTTTTTAATTATTTGACAATAAATACCAAAAGTTCCGAAGTAATTGTTCGGTCGCCATATTATTTACTTTTCTAACATGATGATGGACGAACAGGAAAGGCTCTTAAAGGTAAGTAGTTTGTGATTAGATTTTTACGATTTTGTGACAATCTTTCTTTCAAATTCACTTAGGGGAAATGTCCACAGAAAGAGGTCGCTTTCAGGGCCTGTACCATCGTCTAAAGAGGCGATTGCTAAGCGAAAACGATGTGTACATGTACGTACCAAGATTCAATATTTATAGATAAAACAGTTCGAGTTTAAATGATCTGGGGACGAGTAACGCATTGTGCACCCTATGTTGCAATCATAACAATTATACATGTGAGAGGATAACTACAATGTAGCTATTTGAAAAAAAATATTTAACATGTTTTAACAATAAATGGTAATCAAATTATAAAATATTTTTCTTTTTCAGTTTCAAATAGAGCCAACAGATTTCCACAGGCTATAGTGGAAGGAAATACCACAGAACTGTTGGATCAGTTCTCATAGTACAAATGTACCAGCTGTCTTCTGATGAACTACCCAGTTTGATGAGGCAATAGCAACATATATAGTTTGTTGGAAGCAATGGCAGCGATTAAAGATGACATTTTAGATGGCAAAAAAACGTTATGACACTCTTTCAAAGCTTGATAAAGCTATTTTAGTTCACCCAAATATCAATTCTTACTGTGAGAGAACATTTTCAATTATAAAGAAATTCACTCTGAATTCTGATCAGAACTTGACAATGATATATTGTGTGCTTATCAAGTAAATGTAACCAAACTGGCAGTTGTTTTGAATATGTGCCTAATGGTGTTGATTTAAAAGCAGCAAAACAGACCACTGTTGAATACAATAAAAGTTTACAGTTGAATATTGTTTCTTAAATTTAATAAATAATTTGTATAATGTGAAATTATGAACATTGTTCACATTAAAAAGTCCACATCTACGTCACACGCTTTTTGACATGTCATGTGATGACATGATTTCTCATTGTCAGAGGTTGGCAAGTATGTTTATACATGAATAGAGGGATATATTTGTTAAGACTGCAGTTAAAGCAGGAAAATGGCAAATTGACATTTTCTGGTTATATTGGCTTTAATATATATAGCATTTTATGTATCAATTATTGCACTTCACTAAAAACTGGGATGCCAAGTTTTGTGCTAAAGTGACAGATTATGCAATCTACTGTGAACCTATCTGAACACCTGATTAGCAACAATAAGGACAGTTGACCTTTAAACTTTATGTTAAATCTAACAATAGAAATCTGTTTATTGAGGCATATAACTGAGTTGAATTTACCTGATCATCACATCTTTCAATTATGATGAACAGTATATTGTATATGCAGTAACTTTAGCAGTAAACTGAACATGTGCATATTAAATTAAATACATGTACATTTGTACATCAATTAGTTCATCAAATGTTGCAGGTCACTGCCATCACCAGGAGAAAATGCGGATTTGCTATATTCTGCTTTAAATCCAGTCTAAACAAATAGATGACTCTATCATGTCTATAAACACCATATGGTCCAAGACCACAATTATCGTCTTTTGATTTTGGTTGTCCACAAATAAAGTCCCTATTGTTGGCAGTGTGTTACTTGCCAATATTTTTCATACCCCTTCCAAATTTATTTCTCCCTGTTTTATGCCTCAAATAGCAAAAAGGGGGGTGAAATTACACTGTCAAAAAACTTGGGTCATGAATTTACGTAAAGTACGTAGTGATTTGGTCTAGCTGAAAAAGGTTAAAAATTAGCACTTCGGAAGCTGTCAAAAGATTTCAAGACCCCCTCAACATAAAATTGTCCATATTTTGAGTTAGAGCCGATGAAGTTTTCTATAATTTTGATATAATTTGTCCCAAAAGTAGTAAAACACACTGTAAAAATTTTATGAGAAAGCGCAGGTGGGATTTTTTTAATTTTCATTTATTGTCTAGAAGAAATGCACTATGAAATAATTGTGGTCTCGGACCTAAGATAAAGGATTTGTTCCCAACCTGTTGACTGTGTGTAACTTTCATGTATGCTACATGTAGGTGTATAGCTTTTTATCAATAATGTCTTGGTAGGATGAAATTTAAAAAAAAATAGGCAGGACAGGAGTTTTGAGTAAAAAAAGGCAGGATGAGAATTTATGTAAAAAAAAAGTCAGGATAAACTAAAAAAAAAAAGCAGGACCGAATAGAGTGAAAAATAAAAAGGCAGGACCGCATAGAGGGAAAAATAAGTAAGCAGGACAGGAGTTTTGAGTAAAAAAAAGGCAGGATGAGATTATTTGCAAAACAAAAAGAAGGCATGATGACAATTTATGTAAAAAAAAAGTCAGGATAAACTAAAAAAAAAAAGCAGGACCGAATAGAGTGAAAATAAAAAGGCAGGACCGCATAGAGGGAAAAATAAAAAGGCAGGACAAAATTTTTCATCCTAGCCCCCCCCATAAAAATCAAATGGTAGCTCCCTAAAATCTTCATTTGATATTTGGTGGATAGTTGTCTCATTTGATATTTGGTGGATAGTTGTCTCATTTGATATTTGGTGGATAGTTGTCTCATTTGTGATCATACCCCATGTCTCCTTATTTTGCTGCATGTACTCATACTAAGATTAATTTAATCACACATATTAATATGAAAAACTGGACTAATAAACATGACCGAACTAATAATTAAACATGACCTAACTAATAAACATGACCGGACTAATAAACATGACCGGACTAATAAACCTGACCGGACTAATAAACATGACCGGACTAATAAACATGACCGGACTAATAAACATGACCGAACTAATAAACTTTAAAGACTGATGTACATGTGCTAACTAAAAGGCAATGGCTGAAAAGAGAATCATTAATATACACTCACCACCAAGGAGTTATAGCAGCTTTGCAGAATATTAAATGAATCTGGCATGTTAAGGAATTTGATAAATGATGTTCAATAAAATTATTTATTTTTACATTAAAAACTATATAGACATCCAGTTCAACTGGTATCACATCTATCAAGTCACTATCAAAGTTCCCTTCACACAAAGAGTAGCTCTTAATTTTTGATAAAAGAGATTGAATAATAATCATTGTTAATGATGCAATGAAATATTGTTGGTAAATCTTTCCATAAATGGTAATCAGAGGAACGTTTTGGTCATAGTCCTATTTAGTTGTACCGATACACTAGTATTTCTATTTCTTTTTGAAGGAATGACATTGGTAAGTCCATGATAAGTGTATGGTTGGTCAACTGCTGTTGGCACTCAATTGCTTAGACTGTTTTTTAGGCTTTCTTTGTGATAGGACTTTTCTTCTTAGTATTCACCAGTTTGGAGAATAATGAAAAAAAATGTGTAATATATAGTTACATATGGCAATTATAAGATAATATCATTTATATATATGGCTTTATAAATTCCAATATTAAATCTGATCAACAATAGAGACAGCAATATAACCTCAAGAGCTCTGCTGGAATATTTATATTTACAAGATTTATGTAAGTTTTCTATGGGTTTATGATTACATATGTAAAAAATGATAAAAACTATTGTATGGGACTTTATACCTTACAATGACACTCATTTTCTTCCTAAATTGTTCTTATATCAGAAGCATAAAATTGAGAATGGAAATGGGGAATGTGTCAAAGAGACAACAACCCGACCACAGAACAGACAACAGCAGAAGGCCACCAACAGGTCTTCAATGCAGCGAGAAATTCCCGCACCCGGAGGCGTCCTTCAGCTGGCCCCTAAACAAATATATATACTAGTTCAGTGATAATGAACGCCATACTAAACTCCAAATTGTACACAAGAAACTAAAATTAAAAATAATACAAGACTAACAAAGGCTAGAGGCTCCTGACTTGGGACAGGCGCAAAAATGCGGCGGGGTTAAACATGTTTATGAGATCTCAACCCCCCCCCTATACCTCTAGCCAATGTAGAAAAGTAAACGCATAACAATACGCACATTAAAATTCAGTTCAAGAGAAGTCCGAGTCTGATGTCAGAAGATGTAACCAAAGAAAATAAACAAAATGACAATAATACATAAATAACAACAGACTACTAGCAGTTAACTGACATGCCAGCTCCAGACTTCAATTAAACTGATTGAAAGATTATGTCTTCATCATATGAATATCAGGCACAATCTTTCCCGTTAGGGAAATGTATTGATTTTCCATTCAATTCGTCTAAGTAATTACTACTGTAATCACTAGCCAGTCAACACTGAGGGTGTGAGTTCGAACCCCGCTCGTGCGGGTGCACTCGACTCCAATCTTAATTGACTAGGATTGTCAGTTTTCCTATCAAAGGTCGGTGGTTTTCTCCGGGCACTCCAGCTTCCTCCACCAATAAAAACTGGCCGCCACAAAATAGCCCAAAAGCGGTGCTTAAAAGTGGAGTTAAAACACCAAAAATCAAAAATCAAATCAAATCCATTCAATTCATCCTTAAAAGACTACATTTGATTCAATTCAAAATATTCAAATTTCATGGCGAAAGCAATGTATAAAAAATGTAACTGGCAAATATGCCTTTTTCAATAACATAAATGAAATGAGAGATAACTCTGTCATTCCGAAATTTCTGGGTTCTGTGTTTCGATAATTCCTCATAGATTATCATCCAAGATAGCACTGGTCATGGACTGTCCCTGGTAGAAAATATAGCACCAGAGTACGACAGTCCTTTAAAGCTTATAATGGGGAGAACTCTTTATTATACATGTTCTGTACAGGTATGATCCTCCTTCATATATCTGAGCGCTCCAACTTTTAATATGTGTTAACAGTTACAATGTTACAAATATTTACAGAGTGGGAAAGGATGCTAAAACTAAATAGTTTTATATACAGATAAAAAAAAATGCTTCTTTTTGTATTATAATAATTACCTGTCTTTTTTTTTCAATTTCAGACACACTTTTATACACCCTGATGGAAAGCAAAGATCTGTACATGTAGATAGTGAGCCAAAAGTTGTACAAAAGGCTTGTAAAGGTCTAAAAATAAGGTAAATCAGAACTAAAAATTCATAATTGTTGCTTGAATTTATTATTGTGATTGTTGAATAAAAAACACAAATACTGTCAAATGGAAGATTTATCATTATTGCAATTTTGAAATAGAGTTTTTTTTTTAGGACATCTGGTTCTTATCACAATTTTTATGCCCCCTCTGTAGCGGTGGGGCATTAAGTTTTACCCTTGTCTGTCTGTACATACATACGTACGTCCCAAAGTTGGTTTCCGTTCTCTAACTTGAGTTTGCAACAACCGAATGTTATGAAACTTATACACGATGCTTATTACCACAAAACACAGATCAAGTTTGAATTTTCGTGGCGTCACTTTAACTGTTCTAGAGTTATGCCCCTTTATAAAATTTATGGAAAAATTGCAAAATTTTTAGTTTCCGTTCTCTAACTTAAGTTTGCCTCAACTTAATGTTATGAAACTTATACACAATGCTATTACCACAAAACACAGACCAAGTTTGAATTTTGATGGTGTCACTGTAACTGTTCTAGAGTTATGCCCCCTTATAAATGGAAAAATTGCAAAATTTTTAGTTTCCGTTCTCTAACTTAAGTTTGCCTCAACCAAATGTTATGAAACTTATACACAAGGCTTATAACCACAAAACACAGATCAAGTTTGAATTTTGGTGGCATCACTTTAACCGTTATAGAGTTATGCGCCTTTATAAATGGAAAAATTGCAATATTTTTATTTTCTTCTAAATATCATGTAATTTTTAAAATTGGAGTTATCTTCCTTTGTCCATGATTATAGTTGAATCAACTACAATCAATGCTTTATACAATGCAATGTTTAATTTTGACTTCCACTGATAAAACAATGATCAATTTGAATTTGGCTAGTGTCACTTTAACCCTTATTGAGTTATGCCCCTTTATAAATCTAAAGATTGCAAAATTTTTAGTTTCCATTCTGTAACTTAAGTTTGCCCCAACCAAACATTATGAAACCTATACACAATATTCATTACCACAAAACTAAGATCAAGTTCAAATTTTTTGTTTCCGTTTTCTAACTTTAGTTTGCCTCAACCAATTGTTATGAAACTTATACACAATGCATATTACTACATAATATAGATTAAGTGAATTTGGTGGCGACACTTTTGCCATTCTTGAGTTATGTCCCTTTATAAACATAAAAAATTGCTGAATTTTTCGTTTCCATTCTCTAACTTTAGTTTGTCTCAACCAAATGTTATAAAACTTATACACAACCGTTCTAGAGTTATGCGTGTTTACAAATATAAAAATTGCTGAATTTTTAGTTTCTGTTCTCTACTTAAGTTAGCCTCAACCAAATGTTATGAGACTTACACACAATGCTTATTACCACAAAACTCAGATCAAGTTCAAATTTGGGTAGCGTCACTTTTACCGTTCTTCAGTTATGTCCCTTTATAACTATATGATATGCAAGCGGGGGCATCATCTGTGTCCACATGTGGACACTATCCACATTTATTTCAATAATAAAAACATGGCAAAAGAGCAAGTCACTTTAAATATAAGATGTGGTACAATTGCAAATGAGACAACTCTCCACCAGAGACTAAATGATACCTTCATTTCCAAAACCAATAACTGCCTTGATAAGTGTTAACATGACAACGTAAATAATTCAAACAAGAACACTAACAGCCTGACGTATGTAGATTGTAGAAAAGAATACAAAATGATATAAAGCAAAAACAATACTAAATTATAATGGAGGTACATGTACCCTCATGCATTAATTAAGCCCCCCCCCCCCCCCCATTTAAAAAAAAAATAGTCAGTACTCTGTATAATACCCATTCATCAAAATGCATCAAAATGCATGCCCACCATCCTTTCGTTCCTTTTAAATTTTTCTAGGGAGGATATAGTGACATTACCACTCATGAGTTTGTCAAGGCTCATTAATATTTATTTTTTTACAGAGATGGAAACATTGTATCTGGAAAGAGAGGAAGAGGAACAAATTGGGCATTAGGTTTGTTATAATGACAAAGCAAGAATTATCTCCCTCTTTTGAATCACTCTTACAAGGTGTTGTGTAAATCACCGTGACACAGGGTGATTGACTGTGAATGAATAAGGGTCAGGGTTAAATTTTGAATATTTGTAAGGCTTTTATAACATAGAGACAAAGGATACCAAAGGGATATTCAAACTCACTAGTAAACAAAGCAACAAGCCAATGACAATACACAAAACACAAAGAAAAAAAAACACAACAAAGACATCTTATGATTGAACAAACGAACACCAACAAAAACCTGGGATCTCAGGTGTCATTGAAGAGTAAGCAAAATCTGCTCCACATTTTGCACCCATTGTGAGGCTCATACATGTACAAATGCTGCGATAAGTCTAATTTGAGGAAAAGAGGACTTATCCATCTGATGAGTTCAGCCTATTTCAACTGATTTTTTTAGTTCGCTCTCATGTTGTACTATTACACCACTGTCCCAGGTTAGGAGAGGGTTGGGATCCCGCCACATTCTGTATGTATGTGCCTGTACCAAGTCAGAAGCCTGTAATTCAGTGGTTTTCGTTTGTTGATGTAATACATATATGTAAGCCTCAAATCTATGTCCAGCCTCAAATCTATGTCCTTTTTAATATTGAGTCATATACATTCCAAATTTTGTCCTTTATTGTCTCAAATCTATGTCTTTTATTGTCTCACTTCTATGTCCTTTATTAACTAAAATCTATGGCCATTTTTGTCTCAAATCTATGTCCTTTATCGAAATGTGGTGACGTAAGACATAGCAAGACGTCATCAAGTATATGATGTCACTGCATAAAAAGGATTGATGTCGGAGCAGGACACAATTCCAAATGAGGGATACGTTATATCTAGTAAGTGGAAAAAGGGTATTTCAAAGGATCCAAATCCAGAAACGTTTTGGGCGGATATGCCTCACATTATACAGATTGCTAAAGCCAAAGAAGAACATCAAAACTGGGGAGCAAAGAAAATTGTTGACGAATTGAAGGTGCTGTTTTCGGACAGAATGGTAAAAAAGTTTTTGTCGCTTTACTTTTATGACCAAGAATCTAAATGTATATACAAGAAATCTCAAGACTTAAATAGCAACCATAGGAAATGTTTGGACAAAGAGCAACTGATTTATATGATAAGCAAAAACCACATAGGATACAGAATAAGTTTAATTCATTGTTGAAGGCCGTACATGTATCTTTAGTTGCTTGTATACAGATGTCATTTTGTTTCAGGTTGTTTATTAACTTATATTTTGTATTTGTTATCAAGATGTAATGAGTAAAGGGAAGTAACGATAATTACTACAGAACAATTAAACACGGGATCAAGAAAAGCAAACAATTTGAAAATGTTGTAGTTTTACAATGAAATGTAAATCATACAATAATTACACATGCATGTAAAATTTTTAAGCACACACATGGAGAACACATCCCAACTTAACATTGAATTATGGGAAAAGATTTAATAAAACAAAAATCCTATAAGGCCGTACTTATTAGACGGGCATAAATTTGCGCATGGCGAAACAAACTGGAAAAAGAGTTAAGAAAAGGACACACATTTGAGGCCGTATCTTTTATAACGGACATAGATTTGAGAATGACATCAAGATTGAAAACTAATTTGAAAATAGGACACAAACTTGAAGCCGTATCTTTTTTAACGGACATATATTAGCAATTGATGTCACGATGGGGCACAGATTTGAGAACAGGACACAGATTTGAGGCCGTACACAGATCTGAGGCTTACATATATATTTGTTTTTCGTTCATTTTTTGTTTATAAATTAGGCTGTTAGTTTTCTTGTTTGAATTGTTTTACAGTTGTCATTTCAGGGCCTTTTATAGCTGACTATGCGGTATGGGCTTTGCTCATTGTTGAAGGCTGTACGGAGACCTATAGTTGTTAATTTCTGTGTCATTTAGTCTCTTGTAGAGAGTTGCCTCAATGGCAATCATACCACGTCTTCTTTTTTATATTGTGGTTACAACAATTGGAACATATCCATTAGAAATGAACTTACTGTATGTGTAAATTCAGAAATATCTGCTTGCACTTATTTTTATGATAATTCAACATGTTCAATAATAACTGACTGAAAGCTGCTGGAGTGATTTCAACCAAATTTCATCAGGTTCCACTACAGGACATGCAATAAAAATGAGAATGGAAAGTGGGGAATGTGTCATAGAGACAACAACTCAACCAAAGAACAAAAAACAGTATACATCTGCTATTTAATTATTTATCTGATGATTCCAGTCTAAACATGGACTTTGTGATGTTTGCTTATATTATTTGGGGATGATCGCCAACACATTTCTTCCTTGGAAGATTGACCAATGTTTTATTTAATGATTTATAGGTTACCATGGACTGAAGAAGAGTGGAGAGGATCACATACTAGAGGATACTGCAAACCAAGTCAGGAAAGAAATTGAAAGGTAACACTAATAGTTATGTTAATGATGTTTTATTTGTATTTCGGAAAATGTGATTCAAAAAGTACTGTTATAAATTCTGATCACATAATTTTCATTAATAAAAATTATTGTATTTTTTATTTACAATTACTTTTTATGCCCCACCTAGGGGCATTATGTTTGTTTTAGTCTGTGTGTATGATCGTTAGTCCGTCTGTTCCGCTACAGGTGAAAGTTTTTGGTTAAAGTTTTTGGTCTAAGTAGCTTTATATGAAAATGAAGTCCAATCAACTTGAAACTTATTATACATGTTCACGGTCCACTGAACATAGAAAATGATAGTGCGAGTGGGGCATCTGTGTACTATGGACACATTATTGTTTATTTTGCATTGATAAAAGGAGATGTGGGGTTATTTTGAATTTGATAGCATCCACACAGTACAACTAAATATATAAGTAATTGGCCTTCATACAGATTTAAAGCCCAATGAACAAGTACTGCACTGTAAAGCAATGTTTAAATTTAAAATTCAAAGACCTTTAGAGGTCAACAAAATCTGCCACAGTAAGTAAACAGGTGCCTATACAGTATGTCAAAATTACCGCCAGGTTTCTCTAGAAGTTTTTTTTTTTACAGATGTGACATGTACAGTGGTTGTATTATGATGCACAGTTTAACTGGTGGAACAGGATCAGGTAGGTATTATATACAGATGTGACATGTACAGTGGTTGTATTATGATGCACAGTTTGACAGGTGGTACAGGATCAGGTTGGTATTATATACAGATGTGACATGTACAGTGGTTGTATTATGATGCACAGTTTAACAGGTGGAACAGGATCAGGTTGGTATTATATACAGATGTGACTTGTACAGTGGTTGTATTATGATGCACAGTTTGACTGGTGGTACAGGATCAGGTTGGTATTATATACAGATGTGACATGTACAGTGGTTGTATAATGATGCACAGTTTAACAGGTGGAACAGGATCAGGTTGGTATTATATACAGATGTGACATGTACAGTGGTTGTATAATGATGCACAGTTTGACTGGTGGTACAGGATCAGGTAGGTATTATATACAGATGTGACATGTACAGTGGTTGTATAATGATGCACAGTTTGACTGGTGGTACAGGATCAGGTAGGTATTATATACAGATGTGACATGTACAGTGGTTGTATTATGATGCACAGTTTGACTGGTGGAACAGGATCAGGTTGGTATTTGTATGTATGTAGTTACTTTAGCTCATGTAAATGAAACGACAACATTTTGTTATCTCCCCTTGTCCTTTAAATGTAATTTTTTTCAGTTTTCCAAGTTTCATCAATGCTGGGATTGATTTTTTGGCTGAAACTGGCTTGTAAAATTATAATCTGCATTAAAATAAAACACTTGGTTTTTTTTTTACATAATCTACATGGTCATATACTTGAACATTGAAGTCCATACTTATAAAAATGAAATGATTCAGCAACATATATTTCACAACTGTTTTTTTTTTCTCATTATCATTTAACTATATATATCATGATGTAAAATAATTGGACAAAGGGAGACAACCCAAACCAATCACACTGCCTAATGATTTTATTTTTGTGTGATTTGTGGAAATATCAAGCACAACTTTATAAAGATCTATATATTCTTAGAAAAAGAGATTATCCAATTATTATTCCTGTACCATGGGGATCATTACCAAACAGAACCATACTCAGATTTGTATATTTAAGGATTATGATCTTGTCTGTGAGGCCACGAGGGAGGAATATCCAATGAACAATCTGATTTCCTGTACTGTGCAGCATCATTCTAACACAGAACCTTAATATATTTGTATATTTTGTAGGATTAGGATCTCGTCTTTGTGAGGCCATGAGGGAGGAATATCCCATGAACCACCTGATTTCCTGTACTGTGGCACCGTGTTTGACAGGAGAAAGTCCATTACAGAACTATAATGCTTTACTAACACTGTCATACCTTCAAAGGTAAAAATACAAGTAATATTTGGGACATTTTATGATTAGCTTAAAATCTTCTAACATAACATCATAATATGATCTTCAAGGAAAATCAGGAACAAGAAAAACAAGAAAACAAGATTTGGTTTTAGAAATTTCAAAATTTGAATGCACAAAAAAATTTAACAGTTTTTTTGTTTGTTTTTTATTGGCAGCTTCTTCTTTTTCTACATTTTGATATATATTTTTTCAACTATTCCTAAATATTTTATCAAATTTATAGCCAAACTATGGATATTTTGTAATTTAAATGATCTTTTACAAATGCAGTTTTTATTTCAGAAATATATTTATAAAGACGATTCTATTTCAGGAATACAGACTGTGTTGTTCTGACTTATAACGATGATGTTCTCGGAAAACTGCAGAGAAAGATGGAGAGTGTTTCTTTTGATGCCATGAACACCTCTATAGCATCTGCTCTAGGTGGAGTATTCCTGCCCACAGATACCATGACACCAAAAAGGTTAGATTATCTCCCCTTATATAAAGTGACGATGTATCTTTTGATGCCCTGAACACCTCTATAGTCTCTGCTCTAGGGGGAGTATTCCTGCCCACAGATACCATGACACCAAAAAGGTTAGATTATCTCCCCTTATATAGAGTGACCATGTATCTTTTGATGCCATGAACACCTCTATAGTCATTACTCTAGGTGGAGTATTCCTGCCAACAGATACCATGATGCCAAAAAGGTTAGATTATCTCCCCTAACTTAAAGTGACCATGTTTCTGTTGATGCCATGAACACCTTTATAGTTTCTGCTCTAGGTGGAGTATTCCTGCCCACAGATACCATGACACCAAAAAGGTTTGATTATCTCCCCTTATATAAGATGCCATGAACACCTCACTCCACTGTATTTTGGGTATTTCCAAAAAGGTTAGATTGTATCGATCCCCTAACATCAAGAAAAAAAGTTTAACATAGGATCCTATGGGAAATACATACAAATGTCTTATTTTAGAGAACCACTGAATGGAATGAAACCAAACAAAGCATGAATGTTCCTTATGAGGTGCTGACCAAGTGTCGTTACTTTGTAGCCGATCCATCATCCAAGATGGCCGTCAGCGGAGGACTTAGTTTAACATAGGACCCTATGGGAAATACATACAAATGTCTTCTTTTAGAGAACCACTGAATGGAATGAAACCAAACAAAGCATGAATGTTCCTTATGAGGTGCTGACCAAGTGTTGTTACTTTGTAGCCGATCCATCATCCAAGATGGCTGTCAACGGAGGACTTAGTTTAACATAGGACCCTATGGGAAATACATACAAATGTCTTCTTTTAGAGAACCACTGAATGGAATGAAACCAAACAAAGCATGAATGTTTCTTATGAGGTGCTGACCAAGTGTTGTTACTTTGTAGCCGATCCATCATCCAAGATGGCCGCCAGTGGGAGACTTAGTTTAACATAGGACTCTATGGGAAATACAGAAAAATATGTTCTTTTAGAGAACCACTGAATGGAATGAAACTAAACATAGCATGAATGTTCCTTATGAGGTGCTAACCAAGTGTTGTTACTTTGAAGCCGATCCATTATCCAAGATGGCCGCCAGGGTGGGACTTAGTTTAACATAGGACTATGGGAAATACACACAAATGTCTTCTTTTAGAGAACAACTGAATGGAATGAAACCAAACATAGCATGAATGTTCCTTATGAGGTGCTGACCATGTTTTGTTACTTTTTAGCCGATCCATCATCCAAGATGGATGCCACGTGGGACTTAGTTTAACAAAGGACCCTATAGGAAATACATACAAATATCTTCTTTTAGAGAACCACTGAATGGAATGAAATCAAACATAGCCTGAATGTTCCTTATGAAGTGCTGACCATGTGTTGTTACTTTGTTGTTGATCCATCATCCAAGATGGCCGCCAGCGGGAGACTTAGGTTAACATAAGACCCTGTGGGAAATACATACAAATGTCTTCTTTTAGAGAACCACTGCTTGCAATCAATTTGAAACTAATTACTATGTCATAAATGTTCCTTATAATGAGGTGCTGATGAAGTGTTACTACTTTGTTGCTGATTTACTGTTCAAGATGGCCACCAGAATTTATAAAGTATGGGGCCAATATTAAACCAAATTTGGCCTCAATCATTATTTAAGTATCTGTTATGATTTTTATCTTCTTGTATATGATTTCAAAAACCCAAGTAGAGACAGGTGAGCGACACAGGCTCTTGAGAGCCTCTAGTTTTGTTATAACTTACTTCCTGTAACAAATGATAAACTATGTATCTAGACTGTAGAGGTTACAAGCTTAAGAAGAGTTAATCAATGTATGGGTAACGTTTTTGTATACTGTGAAAGTAGTTTTATTCGTGGGGAACTAATTTTCTTGGTTTTCGTGGATGACTTTATCCACGAATTTAAGTGTCCAATGAAATATAATAAATGTTGTCCAAATCAAAACATGGTTTGACTACATGGATACGGGCATGCCATAAAATCTAGAGAAATCGAATATCGCCAAATGCACTATGAACTACAACTGCAGGCAGAATTATACCCTATCATATATATTTAATCTTTAAACTGTACAAATTTCAATCTATAAATGTATAAAAATATTTTTGATCGATGAAAGTCAGATTTCCGGTGATGATATGCTATGATGAAGTGTTCATTTTATATCATAATACTTCTCATATAGAAAGTAATAATTTCATGCTGAGCTTGCTTTTGATCAGAATTAATTTTAAAATTCAAGGTACATTTATAGCATATGTTTAATTAGCTGTTTTCTTTAAGTGACATGTTTATGACCCAATTAACACCTTTGATGGTCTTTAATCTGTTGATCACTCGATCTCTGGTTAACCCTTACTATGCCGCAGAGCCTATATTTAGGCTTTCTGTACTCCTTTCAAATGCCAACGGTCTTTATTTAGGCTTGGCAACGGTTGCCTATATCGTCTGTTCTGTAACAATGCACGTTACGTCACAGTGGAATAGGGACAATACATTGAGGATCGACAAGGGGTATATCAACAGTTTCAATGCAGGAAAAATGTTTTAAGTTGATTGCAGGGGCAAGACTTGCCACTGTTGCCGTCATCTGCCTTTGATGTAATGGTAAAATATGACGTCATAACTGTAGTATCGTAACATAATGACCGTCAACACTTTGCGTCGCATTTATCCACTTTTTTTTATTTTTCCATCATTTGACAAATGTAGTTTATTATTATCATGTTTTTTTTCAAAAATATAACAAACAGTAGGGTCACGGAGCTTTTTTTTTTTAAGCTGCAGGTTGTGCAAAAACGTTAGATTTTGTAGAAATTATACCTGAAAAAACAGTGTGTATGAATAGAAAAAAAAACTAAACGACAGATCTTTTAGATAAAACGAGAAGATAGCTTTCATAATGTGCTTTCAGAAAATAAAAATTAATAAAAATTGGGATAACGGCACTCGTTTTTGTGCTACAAATCAAAATCGGTAATTTTATAAAACAGTCCTATAATCCGATTAAACACATTATTTTCTTCGTTTTGAAGAATAGTCTTACAACTGAATTGCATGCCTCACTTAAAATGCATATTTCATTAAAGATCTAGACTGATTATTTTCTACTATTTTACAACACAAGAGGACGGAAGAAATCCAACATTCATTAAATTTTATATCTGATTCATCAATATTACAACCCTCCAAACACATTGGTACCCCCATATTTTTCAATCAAAGAATTTCAAAATAGCTCTTACATATCTGGCGAGTTATATGTTGACAGAAAGAGAGAAATCAAGAAAACCCCAATCTAAATAAAATATAGTTCTCCGAGTTCGTTATATTCATATATATGAGTACGTGATTTAATATAGATCAGAATTTTAATCAGATTGAGAAAATCCGTCCTTGCGATCCGTAAAATTAAACTGTATTAGCATGAACATTCATGCAAAATGTATTATCTATGTTCAGTTGAAATATTCCCCCATGGATAACACTTATTTTGAAATATATCGTGTTTTCGAAATTATTAATTCAATTTCTGACGGGTCAATATAACTTGGCCCGAGAACACAGTTATTTCGTAGTGCATTTCTTTTCGACAACAAATTTAAATAAAAAAATCGCACCTGCTCTATCTCAAAAAGATTTTTACAGTGTAGTGTACTACTATTGGGACAAATAATATCAACATTATAGAAAAGTCTACCAGCTCTAACTCAAAATATTGACAATTCTATGTTAAGGGGGTCTAGATTTCAGTTTGACAGCTTCAGACCTTTTTTTGACTGGACCAAATCACTACTTAACATTAACATGATAAAGATTCAGCACGCAAATTTTTTTAACATGTAATTTCATCCCCTTACTTAATATTTCATGCATAAAATATAAAGAAATAAATTTGGAAAGTGTATGAAAAAAAATTGCAAGTTATACACTGTCCACTCTAGGAACTATAGACAACGAAAATCTAAGGACGATAACTGTGTCCTCAGACCACTTACAAAAAGTCAACACAGTACAATCCGAGGTCTAACTTATTTATATACACCAAATTTCTACCAGACTTCCAAGAGATTGCGTTTATAAATCCATTTTAGGGATCACCTTTGTGTATCCATATTTTTGTTACACTTTTTTTAATCACAATAGTGCTAAAACCCCATCGCAGTGTATGAAAAGTACTCAAAATATTTGCACTCCCATTTTATTTAAAATTTGAACATCTGTGATTTTCTTGGCTTTTGGAATAAACTAATCAACCACCAAGGATTGAAAAAAATTGCAAGAGAGAAACAGAAAAAGTGCATAGTTTGCATCCGTTCTAACCATCGTCGCAGGACAAGTACTTACTGTGCCATGCATATGCAACAAAGGTCTCCACGAAAAACAAAAAAAAATAAGATATTCGTATAGACATGATCTTGAGTTCATTTTCGGAATCCCCACAAAAATATCATGATAGATTGTTAAATGGCTTTATGATATATCGTATACATGTTCAAAATCAATGTTATTCTACAAATATTCAACATATACATATGAATAAAACTTATTTATTTTTGAAATATGTAAAATTTCAACGAGACAAACACAAAAAATGTTTGTCTTTCAAATTTGTAAATTTCCATTTGAAAACAAATTAAGTCATAATGTAGTATTTCAAATTACTACGGAACCCTCAAATATGTAGAACTTGACATTTCGTCTGCTGTGCTCCATACCAAAACGTTGTAAAACCCTAAATCACATTTCTTCTGTGCACACCTTTATCTGTGCCCCTGTCCGTGACGTTCTCTCATTGTTGACGTCATAAGCGGTACAGTTGCATTTTGAATACCCAAAATCTGACTTGGCAAAGTATAGAATCTGTGTGGCAGTGAAAGGGTTAATTAGTGTCATCACTTCTGATTACACGTGTGCAACAATTCAAATGTTTACTTAGCAAATTTCCTTCAATCAGGACAATTTGTAATCACAGATGAAAGCAGTTATTTTATTTCAAATTTGTTAAAAGTTGTCAGTTTTTAAAGACGTCCCAGTAAGTGAACATGAACATCTTACTTTGAAATGTCCACAAATTATTATGAAACAACATATGGTTATTATAAAGAATCTTCGTTTCTAATGGCTTCAATTCTTCACTCGATTTTTTTTCTTTCAGAAAACTAAAATCCACGAATTTAAAAACCCACGAATATGTAACTTTTGCTCAAACCACGAAAATTGATACCCATGAATTAAGGGACTTTCACAGTATATCTTTATATTTTTTTTTGTAGTGGGCCAAGTATTGGTATGGAACCTTGGGAGATGATAAGATCTGTTTGTCCACTGCCTGCAAATAAATTTGTACAGGTCCATCATATAGCTAAGAGGTAAGTTAGACCATGTATTTGTACAGCTCCATCATATAGCTAAGAGGCAAGTTAATTAAGTCAAAGATGTACTGTAAATTGAGAGATTAATGAGTGCATTTATTGGTGTGATTTTTAAAGTAGGGACACAAATGCAAGATTATTTGTGCTATTTTAACATGTTAAGGATAATCTGCGTGCAAATATATGTATCTGATATCAAAATGTGAGTTCTTATTATTGTGATTCTCACTCAGTCACATTATTTGCAATGATAAAAACCTCACAACAATTTTTAAATTTACAGTTTATAAAGGCATCCTCTGGACTGAATAAATGTGATGTGATAACAGTTGAAGAAAATTATTTTTGGTCAATCAAAGGATGTCTAAAATTATTGCAAAAGGATCTTTATTTAGTAGTTTTAGGTTCACATATAGTGGTGCTCCAAATTATTGGACATGTATGTATACTAATCAAACGTGTAGATATAAGAAGATGTGGTATGAGTGCCAATGAGACAACTCTCTATCCAAGTCACAATCTATAAAAGTAAACCATAAAAGGTCAAGGTATGGTCGTCAACACAGAGCCTTGGCTCACACCGTACAGCAAGCTATAAAGGGCCCCAAAAAATTACTAGTGTAAAAACATTCAAACGCAAAACTAACGGTCTAATCTTATTAAAACGAGAAACACTTACAAACCACATAAACAAACAACAACTACTGAACATCAGATTCCTGACTTAGGACAGGTGCAAACAATTCCAGCAGGATTAGACGTTTTAATGGTACCAAACTTTCTTCCTTATCTGAAACAATAGTGTAACATCACAACATAGAAATACACACTATTCATGTTATATTTTTGCTATTACAGTAAGCTGTCTTGGGCAGGATTACAGAAACAGATGAGGGTGTATACTAACCAAACATACATTACAATTTTATTTATTACAGTAAGTTGTCTTGGGCAGGATTACAGAAACAGATGAGTCAAGGCATTAGACGGCACGATAGCAAAGGAAATGTAGTATCCTTATATATAATTAGTATCAAGTTCACAATTAGGTTTACAGAAAAGAGAATAATAGCAAAAAAAAAGAGGGGAATACAGTATAATGGGCAGAAAACTAAAAAAGCTGACTATTTGATTGATAGTGCCGAAATTTAAAGAATAGAGAACAAAATATAAAGTGTAAGTGAAATGCCTAAAAAAAGTAAAGAAAACAAAAATGAAGGACACATAAAATAGAAGATGTGGTATGATTGCCAATGAGACAATTCTCCACTAGACCAAATAAAACAAAAATTTACAACTTTAGGTCACCGTACGGCTTCAACAATGTGCAAGCCCATACCGCATAGTCAGCTATAAAAGGCCCCAAATTCACAAATTATATGCAGTCTTATGAGACCACTTTTACTCTCCCTTGGGTGGTCTGTTAAAACAGATTTCACTGTATATAGTTAAATGGATTCAAGAGGAGAGGAACATATATTTTCCTTATAAATCATCAGTTTGGTAGTATAGGTAATGTAGTGATAGCACGAGGTGACAGTACAGAGACATTTTATCCTCAGATGACACAGGGGCTGGAGAAAAAGTTCCGTAAATCTTTCAACACTGTCAGCTGGAATCCATTCCCTATAGATATCTGGACTGGTATGTGAAAAAGAATATAGATATAAGAAGATGTGGTATGAGTGCCAATGAGACAACACTTCATCCAGGTCACAATGTGTAGAAAATAAACAATTATAGGTCAAATTTTAATTTTTATTTTAATCTCACAGTTGTCAAGCTGTTTAAAAGTTTAAAAGTTTTACCCATGAGAGAATAAAAAAAGTATTGTATCTAATGAGAAACATCAAAATAAAAGCCCACAAAATTATTTAGTCCCAAAAAATACATATCATGTAAAAAAGACAATTTTAACAGTATGATTGATAACTGTCTTACAAACTTGTTAAACATTATTTACTTTCACCGGTTCAATTAAAATATAGTAATTAATTGAACTATTTTAGTCTTTTGATATCATAAAGTCATCTATGTCAAAACAGCTACCGGGTACTTCAATTCTTGTGTTGGCTAATAATTGAAAACATACATCATTTATCCATTAAACATTTTTGACAAAACAGTTACTGTGGATTCATTTATTTTCGTGGGTACCATTTTTGTGGATTAAGGAAAACTTGCATGTCCGTGGATATTTAATTTTGTGATTATGCTGAGCTCTGCGTACTATCCTAAAGAAAATAATTATTTCTTTGAACATTTAATTTCGTGGTTCCCCTGTACCCACAAAATCAATGAAAATTGGTATCCATCGAATAATAATGAATCCACAGTACACTGAAATTTAAGGTGTCTTTTGAAAGAAAACACAAAAAGAATAAACTGCAATTCAGAAATAAACAACAAATGTTCTTGTCTTTTTATAGGAAACCATGTTAATTAGGTATTAAACAAAAATTAATCAACTGTTCAGGAAAGTATTTTTAAGAATGAGAGAAGTACATACATTATGTGTCAGTAAAAAATTTATCTTATATCTTCAATAATTTATTGTTTCAGCCAAGACCAACAGTATTGGACCAAAAGACACAGCTTCGATAACAGTAGCATCAAATTCAGAGTCAATAGTAGAATACCTCGAGACAGTCTATGAAAGGTCAAGGGTCAAATTTGCTGCAAAAGCTTATCTCCATTGGTACAACAAATACGGAGTAACCAATGTAAGTAGGATAGTGTTTAGATGGAGTAACCAATGTAAGTAGGATAGTGTTTAGAAGGAGTAACCAATGTAAGTAGGATGGTGTTTAGATGGAGTAACCAATGTAAGTACGATGGTGTTTAGATGGAATAACCAATGTAAATAGGATAGTGTTTAAACAGAATAACCAATGTAAATAGGATGCTGTTTAGATGGAGTAACCAATGTAAGTAGGATGGTGTTTAGATGGAGTAACCAATGTAAGTAGGATGCTGTTTAGTTTGAGTAACCAATGTAAGTAGGATGGTGTTTAGACAGAGTAACCAATGTAAATAGGATGGTGTTTAGATGGAGTAACCAATGTAAGTAGGATGGTGTTTAGACAGAGTAACCAATGTAAATAGGATGGTGTTTAGACAGAGTAACCAATGTAAGTAGGATGGTGTTTAGACAGAGTAACCAATGTAAGTAGGATAGTGTTTAGATGGAGTAACCAATGTAAGTAGGATGGTGTTTAGATGGAGTAACCAATGTAAGTAAGATGGTGTTTAGATGGAATAACCAATGTAAATAGGATAGTGTTTAAACAGAATAACCAATGTAAATAGGATGCTGTTTAGATGGAGTAACCAATGTAAGTAGGATGGTGTTTAGATGGAGTAACCAATGTAAGTAGGATGCTGTTTAGTTTGAGTAACCAATGTAAGTAGGATGGTGTTTAGACAGAGTAACCAATGTAAATAGGATGGTGTTTAGATGGAGTAACCAATGTAAGTAGGATGGTGTTTAGACAGAGTAACCAATGTAAATAGGATGGTGTTTAGACAGTAACCAATGTAAGTAGGATGGTGTTTAGACAGAGTAACCAATGTAAGTAGGATAGTGTTTAGATGGAGTAACCAATGTAAGTAGGATGGTGTTTAGATGGAGTAACCAATGTAAGTAGGATGGTGTTTAGACAGAGTAACCAAAGAAAATAGGATGGTGTTTAGACAGAGTAACCAATGTAAGTAGGATGGTGTTTTACTATTCTTTTAAAAAAAAATACTTCCAACACCCAAGTATAGTCATTGATATAGATGTACTAAAAATCAAGGAACATACAAAACTATATAAATTGAAAGGACATGCCAGTAAACAAATTCCAATAAACAATGGTACACACATATCAACCAAGATATCTATTGAAAACAAGAAAAAAAATCAATTATGAACAACTAATGAATGGAATACATACTACAGATAACATGTTTAACGAAACATGTTATTGCACATCACTTTGCAACCATTTGTCAGTAATTTTTTTGGTAAATGCACGTTTTTGAATGATAACTGAAAAGTTTTCAAAATTACTGAAAATTTGATAGATTGTTGCTGATTGTGTCAAAAGGAGGTTGGTATCTATGCACTCGTTGAATATTTTTCCCTCATTGAATTTTTCAATTAGTTATTCTATAAATAGTAGTTTATTAATTGTATCGGTTCAAAGTAAAACAGAGAATGGAAATGGGGAATATGCCAAAGAGACAACAACCCGACCAAATGGCAGATAACAGCCAAGGCCACCAATGTGTCTTCAACGCAGGGAGAAAGTGTTTTTATGATCTCACTTTCATCAGGAATGCTCAAAGTCAAATATTTGAAACCAATAGATGTTTTAGTATGGAAACTTGTGTTGAGCTATATGACAAAAAGTTACAATAGTGGATTAACACATGTCTAATGTCTAAAAGGGACCTCGGTGGCCGAGTGTTATAAGTAGTAACTACTGTAATCACTAGCCAGTCAACACTGAGGTTGTGAGTTGGAACTGGTGCACTAGACTCCAATCTTAATTGACTATGACTGTCAGCTTCCCTATTTAAGGTCAGTGGTTTTCTCCAGGCACTACGGCTTCCTCCACAAATAAAAACTGGCCGTCACAAAATAGCCCCATAGCGGTGCTAAAAACGTGTTAAAACGCAAAAAAATCAAAAATCAAATCTAATGTCTAAATATTTAATCAATGGTAACAGATATTCAGCTAATCATCGATGTCAAGGAAAAACAAAGAATAATGAAGTAATTGCTTTTGAAATCCTGGTCTGAAATAATTTTAAGCAGCAAACAAAATTATTTTCATTTACCTGTGTATATAACATGTATTCTATTTGGCGGCATTTTGTTCAAGGTTAACATCATTATATCATGTATATGGCGGCATTTTGTTCAAGGATATATGGTTGACTTTCTGAAAGTGTTTATTATCTCACCCCTTATTGATTTTGTATTTACATTGTGTCATAGATCTAATACCGTTCAGTGTATATTCACTTGTTTGTTTTCATATGTCTTTTGATTGAGTTATACCATTTCTATTGATATTTTATAGTGATGTTACACTATTGTTTCAGGTAAGGGTGAATGTTGGTACCTTTTAAAACGTTTAAACCCACTGCATTTGTTTGCACCTGTCCTAAGTAAGGAACCTGATATTCAGTGGTTGTCGTTAGTTGATGTGGTTCATAAATGTTGCTCATTTCTTATTTATAGATAAGACCCTTGGTTTTCCCGTTTGAATGGTTTTACACTATTTTTTGGGCCCTTTATAGCTTGCTGTTCGATGTGAGTCAAGGCTCCGTGTTGAAGACCATACTTTGACCTATAATGGTTCACTTTTTGAAATTATGACTTGGCTTGAGAGTTGTCTCATTTCACTCATACCACATTCTTATATCTATGAACACACTTAAGGATGTACTTAGGTGAAATTAAAAAAAATCTAGAATTTAGAATTGATACTATAAGTCAGAAGAGCATTAAGTAAAGGAACAAAATAAGCTAAAAATATTGAAAGGTTATGGATTTCCTTTCAAGATATTTGAGTTTTAAAAAATGGCGGGAAAAGGCTGACTCGGACTTTTACCTTATATTTGCATTGGTATTATTTGGGTCTCAAATCGAAAGAAAAGAAATCTAGAATCTGCTTAATTTTTGGTAAATGACCTTTTCAGAGCTATTGAAGTCTTATTTGAAAAGAAAAATGGGTGTTATGGGGCAAAATATTTTACCCAGTATTGAAGGAAGAATACCAAGGAGTCCGAAGATCTGACACAAATTCCTAAACCTCACCTAAGTACATCCTTAAATGCATTTTGAATTCAACATTCAAAGCTAAAATATGAAATAGCAGAACAGTGTAATTTTTTAAGATTTGATTTTTATCTTTTTCAGGAGGATTTTGAAGAAGCATTTGATGTTGTTGAAGACATTATACAGAATTATAAAAGTGCATTTTCATGAAATATAAATAAAATTTATGATTTTAATATTCATAATCATCAAAACAAATGTGTGTCTTATGTATTTATGTTATTTCTGTTTTTTTTTTAAACCTTCTATATAGGCGTATATGACAAAGTTTCTGTCGTTTTTATGTGCACTGTGGTTTTTAAATGTTTTTTTGGTTTGTAAAAAAAAGAGAGCCTAAAAATACCAAAGAACATTCAAACTCGCAAATATATCACTTATTATGAGTAAATCTGTCTTTAAGATACTATGTAGACCAATTTTTATACCCCACATTATTTATTGCATCGGGAATAATGTTTTTGACCTGTCCATCTTATGTCTGTCCGTCCGTCATTCAGTCAGTCCTCATCGCAACTCCTCTGAAACTACACAACAGAATTTCATGAAACTTTGTAGATAATAAGGACATACTATGTAGATGTGCATATCATGGGAAATTATGATTCAATTTTTTTTTCTAGGAGTTATGCCCCTTTGAACTAATTTGCCTCAATATACTACTGCAACAGTTTGTCATCGCAACTGCTCTGAAACCACACAACAAAATTTAATGAAACTTTGTAGATAATAAGGACATACTATGTAGATATGCTGCATAATGCATATCGACAGGAAATTATGATTCAATTTTTGTTCTAGGAGTAACACCCCTTTGAACTATTTTGCCTCAATATATACTACAGCAACAGTTTGTCATCGCAACTCCTCTGAAACCACACAACCGAATTTCTTGAAAGTTTGTAGATAATAAGGACATTCTATGTAGATATGCATATGGACAGGAAATTATGATTTTTTTTTCTAGGAGTTATATATGCCCTTTGAATTTAGAATTTTGGCCTAAATATACTACTGCAACAGTTTGTAATCGCAACTCCTCTAAAACCACACAACAGAGTTTCATGAAACTTTGTATTTTATGAGGACATAATATGTTAATGAGCATATCCACAAGAACATTTTTATCAGTTGGCTTTTGTAGAGTTATGATAAAATTGAGAATGGAAATGGGGAATGTGTCAAAGAGACAACAACCCGACCATAGATCAGACAACAGCCGAAGGCCACCAATGGGTCTTCAATGCAGCGAGAAACTCCCGCACCAGCAACAAACAAAAGAGCTATGTCAATTGGACATGCTTTGATACTATATCTGCCCTTGAATTTTTACTTGATAACATTTGTGTTCGCTTTGGAGATTCCGTATATCGTCAAGTTGTCGGAATTCCAATGGGGACTAACTGTGCACCACTTATTGCGGACCTGTTTTTGTATTGTTATGAGTTACAATTTATGACTTAAATCAGCAAAGACCCATCGAAACAACATCTGATTGAAAAATTTAACAATACTTTTAGATATTTGGATGATATATTGGCTCTCAATAATGACGACTTCAGTATGTATACTAAAGAAATTTGTCCTGTTGAACTTACTTTAAATAAAGCTAATACTAACAATAACCACTGTCCTTTCCTCGATCTTGATATCTATATCATTAACGGGAAGCTTAATACAAAAATTTATGATAAAAGAGATGATTTTTCATTTCCTATCGTTAATTATCCATTTTTAGATGGTGACGTTCCCTTGTCACCATCTTATGGTGTTTATATATCTCAACTTGTACGATTCGCTCGTGTATGTAACAACGTATTAGATTTTAGCGAAAGAAATTTATGTATTACTGAAAAATTATTACACCAGGGTTTTCGATATCATAAACTAGTCAAAACATTTACTAAATTTTATCATCGGTATAAGGACATCATTCGTAAATATAACTCAACATGCAGACATCTTATACGTTCGGGTATTTCACATCCAATCTTTTATGGTAATATTCTTTACAAAGCACAAAAATGTCAGTATTCACCTCAAAAGCTAACAAAACCTTTAAACAGACTTACTAAGAAGGGATATAGTTACGATACTGTTGTCAGGTCATTAAAGATTGCATATTTTGGCTTTAATATTGATTCACTTATAGGGTCTTTGCATCGGAATTAAACATATTTATTCTAAAACCAGTTGTTGGCATGACACGGGTTATGTTTTTCTCATATATTATATGACGGTATAATACTAAACATCTAACAGGAGGGATTGTGCCTGATATTCATATGATGAAGACATAATCTTTCAATCAGTTTAATTGAGGTCTGGAGCTGGCATGTCAGTAACTGATAGTAGTCTATTGTTATTTATGTATTATTGTCATTTTGTTTATTTTCTTTTGTTTCCTATTCTGACATCGGACTCGGACTTCTCGTGAACTGAGTTTTACTGTGCGTACTGTTGTACGTTTGTTTTTTCTACATTGGCTAGAGGTATAGGGGGAGGGTTGAGATCTCAAAAAACATGTTTAACCCCGCCGCATTTTTGCGCCTGTCCCAAGTCAGGAGCCTCTGGCCTTTGTTAGTCTTGTATCATTTTTAATTTTAGTTTCTTGTGTATAATTTGGAGTTTAGTATGGCGTCCATTATCACTGAACTAGTATACATATTTGTTTAGGGGCCAGCTGAAGGACGCCTCCGGGTGCGGGAGTTTCTCACTGCATTGAAGACCCATTGGTGGCCTTGTGCTGTTGTCTGATCTATGGTCGGGTTGTTGTCTCTTTGACACATTCCCCATTTCCATTCTCAATTTTATGAGTCTTTCAACTTAGGAATATGGTGAGATTTTGTTTGTCCAGTGACAATGTGGGGGTGGTGGGTATGTGAGCGTGCTCAGAAAGGTTCTTTAATTTGAGTAAGAAATGATCACAAGGTTTACTTGTCTGTCAGGCTTAGTTTCTCTGACCTTGTCCTCATTTTCATGGGTTCATTGACAACGTTAAGTTTATGTGATACATGTAGTAAACGTTGACCTTTACAACTGTCAACATAAAATCAATCATGGTTAATAGAGCAGGTGAGCCATTTCAGCGTGTGCACTTTTGTCAAACTGTAATATGTTGTGACTGATCTAAAATGGAGTCCAGTTCGATATTATTGACGATTTTCACTTTTTTCATTGATCAGTGTTGCATGCAAGTAGTTATGTCCTCTTCTTAAATACTATAACCAATAGGTCAACTATATTTGGTCTGTGGAATGATAATTATGTGTACATGTCTGTCTGTCAGGGATCCTTTGACCTTGACATCAAGATCATGGTTCATTAATTAATATTAAAATTTTTCGGTTTGGTCTGTTTCTTTTATACTATGAGTAACTGGTCATTTATGGTGTATGAAATAGTTAAAAAGTATATGTTTATGTCTGACTTGGTTTATCTGACCTTGACCTCATTTCCATGGATACTTGATAATGTTTAGTTTAAATGATACATATAACACTTTATCGTAAGTAATATCAACATACACTCATTCATGGTAAGTAAAACAGGCGACACATTTCATCTTTTCGGCTCTTGTTTTCATATTATGAGTAATAGACCAACTGTGCATTTGGTGCATGGAATGACTGTACTCTGTACTTGTCTGTTGAAGGGCTCATCTGACTTTTACCTATTTTTTATGGTTCAAAAGTCAATCTTTGGTTTTCTTGGATTGATTTGTTTCTCCGTTTCTCAAGTACACTATGAAGTACTATGGAGTAGTATTAGCAAATGTTTAGTTGTGTTTTGTGTATGGAAAGACTGTTTCTAGTGCAATTATTTTGTATCAATGGTTCTGATTGGATGACAGTAAGCGTAAAATTCTCTATCTCCTTGTCTGAAACAAAGGAAGCCGACATTTTGAATTGCGGAATGTATTGACATGTAATTTCTACAATAATGAGCAAAATAACTCACATGTTGCACCTAAAAATATTCTTTTTATCAAATATTATTACATTCTGAAGCGGCCAAGAAGCCAGAAAACGCTCGGTGCATACTTATGACGTCACCTAGTTTAGGGACCAAAGAAGATAACATCTTTTCGCAGAATTTCTGAAATGAAAATTTAATACTGAAATCATGATTGAAATTTAATTATGAATTTGTTTTGCATTATAAAAGAAATGACTGTATCGTATTTGAAGCTTTGCGGACGTCCATAGTTAGTTTTGCTGTCGCAAATACCCGTTTACCTGTCTCCGCTACGCGTCGCCAGGTAAACTAAATGTGCGACAGTAAAACTACCGATGGACGTCCGCAAAGCTTCAAATACGATACAGTTATCTCTTAAATGGTGTACTTGGTCGTCTTGCAGATTTCACCGAAGAAAAACTGACAAAGCCATAGCAAAATACCGAAAGACGACTTACAGAGAAATAATTTCCATAAAACACTACGTAGACAATAAAAGATTGTGAAACAAAATAATAAAAAATACTAGGATGCATGAAATGCTACGGACGGGTAAGATGATCCTGATACACTAGTGGCACCTGTCAAGTTGCTCTGGGAAGTACAAATTATATTACTTGTCGAACTTAGGGTCGAACTTGACTTGATTCTTGACTTACTCAAAACCTTAATTCGAATTTCAACTATCGCTCTAATTCGAACTTGAACTCTAACTCGATTGGTAGTCAGTCTCATCTTGATGTATTAAATTTACAAAATATTCGAATTAGCTCTCGCCGCGATATAGACTTTTTGCGCTCATGCAGCGTAAAGCAAACACCAATCAATCATATTGATGTATCGTGCAGTGAAGAAAGGTAGGGTTTTATACTTTCATTTTATTTTCAGTTTATTAACATCGAAATTTGCAATTGCATGTCCTTGAAAACTTAAATTATTGGTCATTTAAAAAAGTTTTATTATTGAAATGGTGAACGTTGCACATATGTTACTGGGCATTTTGTATGGATCAACAACAGTCCACAATTGGACATGATCTTTTATTGGTACGAATATTTTATTCTTGCTGTTGTCCTTTTGTCCATTCCATACTTTTCATTTGATAATAATAATTAAATTCATATATATGTCGCCTGCACACATTAACCGTATAACCTTTGCTTGTAATCTAGCAGGATAAATCAAATAGGTTATCAAAATCGTAAGAACAGGTCTGGAGCAAAAGGTTATCAACATAGTAAGAA